ATTTTGGTTAGTCTTTAATGACCATTTGGTTAGTTTCTATTACCTATTTATTTTTATGTATGCATGTTTTTTTATTATTTTATGCTTAATTTAAATTTAGTATTTTGAATTTCTTGAATTGATTTAGTAAATTTCAATTTTAGAATTTATTTTGATATTTTGGATAAGTAATTAATAGGTGGATGAATTATCGAGTCTTTTAATTTTTAGGGACTCGGTGACGATTCTCCACTAATAAAAAAATATGATAAATAATAAAAAAAAAAGAAAGGAATGTTAGGAAAATAAAAATAAAATATTGTAAAAAAATGTAAGGAAAAGAAATAAAAGAAAAAAATTCTAGGAAAAAGAGAGAAAAGAAAAGAATAAAGAAAAAAATAGAAAAACACTAAAAAATATATATAATTTAACAAATTTTCCTATCTAATAGGGATTCGTTAATAAAAAATACTTTGGTAATTAGGGCATTCTAAGACATAACGGTTATGTCGAGACTTAAATTGAATTCAATGTTTGAGCTGACGTATCTCCCGACGAAGGAATCGACGATTGACTCAATACAATGCCACAAATAAAAATAAAAAACTTAATTTGACATACAAAAAATAAAAACTTAGAATTTCTACTAGGATTCATTTTGGAAAAAAATAGAAATTTTTTATTAGATAAATTTTAGGACAAAGCTAGACGTGATACTTTTCTTAGAAAATATTGCTTTTAGGCGAATGATATCTTTTCAAAAGCGTAATCGAGTTTCTTATCATAGAATCTTTACATCGAGTTCTCTTTTTAAGTTCCTAGTTCCTTCAATACTAGATGATGACTTTGAAATCAATAATAACTCACATCTTTAGAATAAATCATAGATAATTTAAAACAAAACAATTTTTTTCTAGAGTCCTGCCGGATGTTAGGTAGCGACAAAATGACGACTCCATTGAGGATTCAAAATTAAGCCATTTTTTAGTTTTTTTTTGTGAATTTTTATCTTCTCTATTTATTTATTTATTTTTGCCATTTATTTTTCCAATTCTTTTAGTTTCAAAGCCGGTTATTTAATTCCTATACATATTTGAAATCTTTTAACTTTATGCAATTTATTTTTCTTACATTCATGTACATATTGATTTTGTAAACTTGGATGGATGTGATTGCTTTGAACTATTACACACACCATAAAAAAGCCTACAAAAGCTTTGGACCTAAGCTAAAACCCAACTAGCATTTAGATAGAGAGATTTGGAGGCAAGTATGATGAAAGTTTACTTATGCTTTTCCGAACTCTTATTTGGACTAGAACTCGCCATATGCATAGGAAATGATGAAATAACTTTTTCCTACCTCTAATGCCAAAGGTTAGAGGCTGAATTACCCCACTAGTAATTTAGACAATACAAAAACTTAAAATGACTTTAGGAATAAACAATCTTTGTCTAAATTCGAGAAAAACTAGATCCTATTCACTAGGGTTGACTCGTTTAGTCATGAATTATTTTTGTGAGATTGAGTTGTTCTAACTTTTGTTTTTTATAAGATATCATCAAAACAAATCATGATAGAAAATGCTATTGAGTATTTTAGAATCGGATCATAATGGGTCCAGGTTTGAGAAAAAAAGGCTATCTACCACGGATCTTGTGCCGAAGCAAAAAAAAAAAAAAAAAGGACTTGCGAGTGACGAGTGCACCACTAAAGATGAGTTTTATACAAGATTCGAAATCGCATAGCATTTCGTTGCCTCAAGCCTGCGTTTGGAATTACAAAGGGTAGAATAAGAATATATTTATAATGTAAATATTATAAGCATTGTAATCTAAGTTGTTGCAACAAGTAATTATCGAAAACAACTACACTATTTTTATTCTTCAATGAAAAATAGCTTTAAGTCACATTTAGAATGCGTTAGAAGTTCAAATTTCAAATTTTTTTGTTTATGCTATCACGAGATGTGCTCATCGCTTGGGATCTCGGGAAAAAAAACAAAAAAACAAAGGACCCATAAGCAATGAGTACACCACTAAAAATGAGCTCACAATAAGATTCGAAATCGCATAACCCCTGTTACCTCAAGCTTGGGTTTGGAATTGTGAAGGGTAGAATAGGAATCTATTTGTAATGTAAATATGATAAGTATTGTATTCTAAGTAGTTGTAATAAGTAATTATTGAAAACAACTTTAGTATTTTTATTCTTCAATGAAAAATAGCTCTAAGTCACATTTAGAATGTGCTTAGAAGTCCAAATTTCAAATTCTTCTATGGCTGCTATAAGATGCGCTCATAACTCGGGGTCTCAATAAAAAAAATTATGTTAAAGACAAATTTGATCTTGAGTAGATATGTTTCTTAAATCACGTAAAATATTTATGGGGTTGTACCCTCAACGAGTATTAAAATTTGATCTAGCCCCATCCTCGGTACAAACTCTATCATGATTTGAAGTTCACAATAGCAAAGTAACGTATCCAAACTGATTCATATCATGTATATATATATTGTACATTCATTATACATATCTATTTTGAGTTTGTTTTACCGAACTTGAAATATAGGCTACCCCGCTAAAACTTAACTTCCTCTTCGAATCCACCATACACGACTAAGGCATCACCAAATGGAAAATGAAGAAATAGAATAGTGGAAATAGACCCCCATTAATAAGAACTTGATAAGATGAAAAAGGAAATCACCTATTTGACTAATTTGTTAGAAAAAACCAAGTTGGCACTACCAAGTGGGGGAAGTAGTTCAAACTAAGACCAAACCTATGGTAACATGCCATACACCTTTCCAAGGTTAAACTTACGGCTTGAGCCATCCACTACATAACCCACTAACCCGGAGGCAATAACATTCCATAAAGAGGCTTCGATCCTATTGGGCCTTTCACTTAGACAATGGATCTGTAAATACCACAAATGCAAGGAGCATAAATCAAAGATCTCATTGGTGAGAAATCATAAGGCTAAGGAGATAGAAGGATATAATATGAACAAACTATCCACCATTAAGGAATGCCTAAAGGCCATTAAAGGGGATGACCTCTATGACCTTGTAAAAGTAGTTAAGATATGCTTGATACTCGATGTGGTAATTTTTTTTAAAAAATTAGAGTGCTCAAGTTCATCAAGTACACTAATACTCGATGTCCCATGACTTATATGTACGAGTAAAACAATAAAGCATACAAGTGAAGGGATTAAGAGATAAATTTATAGATTAAAATATATGGATTGGAGCTTGGCAAGTAATTACAATAATAGTGCTTTTGTATTCATAAGGAATATTAAACTTATGGCAAAGTAAACATGGAGAATAAACTAAACTAATTAGAAATAAAATTCCTATTATAATATTTTCTTTTATAAAAAATAAATCTAAACCAAACCTCTTGAAGAAAAGCTCATTTTGTTTGCTGTAATTTATGCATGTCGTTAATTCTTCAATGATAATAGAATTTGTCTTGTCTTTATTTCTTTTGGTCCTTCTTGTTTTTGGATATTCAAACTTGGTCTTTAAACTCCAAAAACTTATTAATTTAGCTCGATTGCGAATGGTCTAATAAAAAATATTTATTTTGAGTGTCAACATCAACCAAAATCATATCTTCAAATAGCTTTGTTCTTTGGAATGAGAAGTTTGTTATAGGATGTGTTCGATATTAAAGCCTCAATTTTGAGTTCATTTTACTAGTCTTTTTTCTTATTTATTTATTTTTAATCATGTTGAGAGACTAACCTTGTAAACGATAGTGTTAGTGTAACATGTCTTAATATCGAAGGAATGTCACTAGCAATCGTTAAAACAAATGTTGTTAGCATTCCTTATTAAATATATGCATGACACACTTTCTACTAAGCCAATAAAAGTAAAACCCTAAATCACTCACAAACCCCTAACAAGGGATGACAATAGATCAGATTGAAATTGAATTTTGTTCTACTAGCTTGTGCCTTTAATTCGATCTAGTTGGGTGGTGCTTTTTTCTATTCGATGGTTGCCCACCCAATACCTAACTCGATTTATATTTTTTTCTTTTTCAAATCAATTTCACAAAAATAAAATCTAAATATAAAACAAGAAACTACTTATCTATGAATCGTAAAACCATAAAATACAATCTAAATTTCAAATTTATGGATAAAATCATAAAAAACTCCATGAATCATAAGATACAATTCACACATCACATTGCAAAATAAAACTAGTTCTCCATAATTCTTTTTTAAAAAAAAAGTAAAAAAAACAAATTAAAGTTGGGTCGGGTGATGGAATAGGTGAAACCCTTACCCGCTTTCACATTCTCTAATCAAACAAAATTGGATTTTCCCTTCGATGGTCAAATGAAATGAAAATCCAATTGAATCGAATAGCCGATAGATTGAGTGAAGTTGTAATTCTATGTCCCAAGCTTTAGCCTTTATTCCCTTCTCTTTCAAGAGGCCCTCTCTTACAATAAATTATAAATTAGTCTTTTTAGTTTTAAAAAACAAATTAATTAGTCTCATTTGTTTCAAAAACTATTATTTAATCCTTTAATTAGTGTTGATTATGCTTAATTTAATTTTGTTTTTATTCTAAAAAATCTCTTATTTTCTCATTAATCTTTTCATATTTTTTTTATTATTTCTTAAAAAAAATAAATTAAATTAAAAAGAAGCAAAAAAAGAAAAAAGAAAAAGAGAGAACTAAATTACAAGTAGATTTCAAAACATGAAATTAAATAATTAGTTTTTAAAATAATAAGGACTAATTAATTCATTTTTCTAAATAAGAAGGACTAATTTATAATTTACTTCTCTCAATAAATAAACAAACCAATTAGACCCTCCTCGCTTTAAAACCTCTTAAGCAGCTCAAAACCAAAAACCCATCAACCAGATTAACACTAGTATATTTAATGATGCGCAACATAAAAAGTTGCTGTAGTACATAGAAAGCTCAGAACCCCAATTGCCATTTCCCACCCATTCCGAAAGCCTTGTAAAAACCCATCTCATCATGTCTGCTTATGGGATCTCTTTATCTCTCATGCTGCTGCTCTTAGCTAACGTGATGAATTACAATGAGGCAAGTACAAGCCTAGTAGCCCAGGTGAGTGTTGTTTATTTCAAGTTTTTCCCTTGCAATTCCTAGATCCCTCCTTTATTGGTCTTTGTGGATTGAATGTTTGTTGTTATCTTGTTGATTTGGAGGTAAATGGGTCTGCAACAAGTAATGAGATGGTGCCATTGATGGAGCCTGTCAAGTTTGTGGAGATAAAAATGATGATGAATGAGAGCAGGAGAAGGTTGAATGGCTTTCAGATATGTGCACTGTGCACTTGCTGTGGAGGTGCTAAAGGGGTTTGCTTGCCATCTCCTTGTTGCTATGCTATTAATTGCAACATTCCAAACAGGCCCTTTGGTTTCTGTTCTTTCACTCCCAAGACCTGTAATTGCCTTGGATGCCATCTCTAGTTCTTCTGCTTTTTTCTTGATTCTGTTGCAAGTGTGAATGGGAAGAGGAGAATATCTGTTCCTAGATTTGTTTGTTTATAATTTTATTAATTGTTGTTATCATACTACCATATGATATGGTCACCGCTAGTGTTTTGAGTGTTGCTAGTTCCAGGTAAAGGGTTGTTGCTATTTCCAGTGGGAAGTGTGTATAATTATTTTAGGAAGTTGCAATGCCTGATGAGTGGAGACAGCAAAAGAGGTTAGGATTATTTATTACTAGCATTCTATTGATATTTGGGGAAGCATTGTTCTTATGTTTACCACACCAGTTCAATATATATATATATATATATATATTGGGGTTTGGTGACAATCTAAGTAGCTGTGTTTAAGAATATATTAATGCTCAGTGCACACTAGGGCTGGTCTGCTACTCGTGACAAAAGATTAAGATTGATAATATCTTAATGTTTTATGTTAATTGCTCATTACTATTATTTTATTGAACTAGTGGGTGTAATGCAGATTGCAACTTTTAGAGGGCAGTTTTTCCTTCTTTTCTTTCTTTGAACGTGAAAAATCTCAAATTCCCATTAATGCTTTTGCTGGAACACGTTGGTTGTCTTTTTTCCCTTTTGTGTTTTTTTGTCTTCGGCCTCTCCTTTGATCTTTGCATATGCTGTTTTGTTTAGCAGTTGCTTCATTAGGGTCGAAGCATGTTTGTTTTGGCTTATGGCTCTGGCCTTGAATTACCATACCATAAATAGGTTATTGCTAATAGGTGCTGTAAAAGCTGTTACTGTATAGATAGGGTTTTTTTATATATTGGGTGGATATGAATATAATGATATTAATGCATGTAGGTGTAGCTAACTAAAATAACAAGGTGGGTGGAGGTTGGGTTGGAGGCAATTTATGTCTAGGAGCAACTGGTTGCTGAAGTTGTATAATTCTAGATAGACCATTAATAACGTATACTTCTTCTTCTTCTTCCTCTTCTTCTTCTGTCTAATAATATTTATAATAATCAGCATAGAGCAAAGATATTGTTGCTACTGCCACTTATTGCATGCAGCGCTTTGAACACAATTGAACTGATTTGATTTGGGTTTGATGTGAACAAATTTATTAGTGGGGCTAATGAGGATACAGACATGGCAATAGGGTTTCCAAGCCACATCTGCATTTGGTGTCTTGAAAAGAGTGTTATGGGAATCTCTTTGACCTGATTTATGACGAAAATGTGCAACCACCCATGTGCTGTTTCAAGGGCAAATGGCAATCAAATTATGGATAGTGTTTGTTTCCATCAATTCATTTCTTATGAAAATTGGATTATTTGTGAGCGAAGAAAAGCTCTTTCATCATCACAGCCTCCACTCATCTTTATCTACTACCAAACGATAAGAATATTTTTGTCTGTGGGGATTGAAAAAAGTGATTCCTTTCCCCCTTTTTTATTTTCTTTTTCTCGATTTTTGAATTTTGGTATGAGTTTGAATGAATGACAGAACTGAGAGTAAAGGATTGACATTGGAACAAATAAAAGAGATGGTTCCAAATTAGCACAAAATTAAAAATATAGCGATCAATATAAGCTTCACACCAAGAAACAGAAGGAACGGATTTTTTTAAGGACCCCCACAATTTTATAGGTCGGCAATTATTGACCCATTGTTTCCTTGTATGAATAATTTTACTTTACTAATATCACACTTCTCTTTGTTTGACTACAGCTGCTGAATTACAAGTCTTGCAAGGTGATTCCAAATACATTAATTAACAGAGGATAAAAATAAATGTGCATGTGTTTTCACTTTTGCTATTTATTATTTTATTTCAACAAATGCTTGCTTGTTTGTATACTTTATCATTACAACACTATACAAACGAAGACAACAGATTCCGAACTCAGTTTTAAAAATATTCCATGTTGCAACCATGTCTCCTTACCTTGGAACTTGTGATCTCTGTACTACTTCAAGCCTTGTTAACGTCACTTGTTCCAGACCTCTTGCCTCTGGAAAATATATATAATATATATTATAACGAACGTACAATGGTACATAGTTTACACAGCTTCAGGATCGTGCAAGTAGATGCTTCCTTTCGCTGCCTCTATTTGTATGGATCAATCCAGCATTGATCCACCTCAACGGCCTCTTTCCATCGTTTTTGAAAAATTTTCAATTCCATCAAGGACTGCCTCCTCACCTGCAATGGTATTAAGTATCATAAAATCACCTTGGAAAGACAGCTAGATTGTGCCGAGGTTTTATGTTTCAGAGACATGCCAGAATTGGTACAACCTACGAGCTCAGCTATCATCTTGCATTTTTACTCCGACCCCTCTCCCTTTTCATTGCAACATTAATCGCATTTTGTGCCTAAGTTGCCAGATAAGTGCTGCTATTGTATTGTTTTCCATTTTCTTACAGAAATCGAAGACAAGAGCTATAGTTACCGACTCACCTCAGTACCTACCTACTTTGATGAAGACAATTTCTAAGTATAGGACAATGTCCTGCAACGGAGGAGTCATATTTATCAATGGCTCTAGACCCTAGTGAAAGGCTGAATTTCTAACAAGCTCTAAACATCCACCATTCTTGTACATCTGAATGAACTCGACAATATGTCAAGTAAGGAAATTTAAATGAAGAGGGATGTTTATCAAGTATCAACTCCTCAACAAACTGGACAAGTGAAACCATTTTCGTCGATACTTACTTCCAGTCTAGGATCTGTTTTCCGTGAATGAGATCGCGCCTGCAAGACAGAAATATTCCAATTATATTGAAGGATCAAACACGGAGAGAACCTACATCAGTGATATGGTAAAGACTCGTTGGAAAGAATTTTCTATGTTGATCATGGATTGGAATCAACGAGCACATTAGCCATAAGCAAAATCAAGATCATGCCGAAATATAGAAACTGAAATAAAAAGGGAAGCTTTTCAACTTCCGGCTAAAGTAGACATTGAAATCATGTTCAATACGTAAATTTTTCGTTGATACTCACTTCCATTCTAGAACCTTTTTTATGAGAACGAGATGGTGCCTGCAAAACAGAGATAAGCAAACAAGGAGTATGAAGTTCGTTGTTCGTGTGGTGAAGACTAAAGACTCATCCCAACAGCAAAAAGAAAACATGCTCCCAATCTAATTAGTATTGATGTTCAACCTATCATAGTTCCAATAATAAGACTTCACCTTCAGCATTGGATTTTGTATTTTCCCAACATGACACAACCTTCATCCATTCAATTTCTACCACTCCACTTCTTCTTCTTTTTTTAAAAAAAAATAAAATAAAATAAAATTTTTTGAAGGAAATATATAAATTAAGTAGGATAGTTGTAATTGAAACAGCAGCAACTTTTAGCTCTTTTTAACATGGAATCCAGTAAATAACAATGAAACTAACCATCTAGAACAACCTTGTTATCTCTTTCTTCTGTTTGCTTTATTGATTATGAAGTCAGGGAAAGAAACACAGAGGCATCCATCCAAAAAATCATACTACAACTAAAGAAAACGTGCTCTTTGAAAGCCATCTTATGTTTATTCTTGCATCATGTGCAACCTTGAAATGACTGTTGTATTTCTAATTCTTTTTATATGTACTGTAGGATCAATATAATTGAAAGAAAGCAGAATAGCTAACGCTAAGCAAAATTTCAAGTTAGGCTAGTAGTTCAATTAAAACATCTTTTTGGTCCCAGATGCACGGATTACTGTATTAACTTTTTGCAAACAAAATCCTGAAAAACACCATCAGCTTCACAAGAAACTCTAGCAATTACTGTCTTATTTTGGAACAGGTTCATATAAATGTTGTAACAGATTCATATAACCTGGATGGACCAGGTTAAACGATAAAACTCTAGCAACAAAATCTGCATGACAGTGTCTGATGTCTAACCTCATTTTCAACCACACCTCCAAGTGTTGGGTGACCATAATGAACTATGTACTCTGCATCCACAACACCAATATTTTTTGTTCGATCACCCTATCAAAACCTTGGCCAGTAGGATTTCTGGTAAGTACATATATTGGAAGGAGCAAAAGAGAATGTGGTAGATAACATTGGGAAAAAGAGAGTAGCTTGCCTGTGAACAGTAACCAAGCTGATAGTCTAGACCCCAAGCGTGGATCAAGTCATTCTATATAAATAAATAAATAATAAATTAATAAACAAAAATGATATAGAAAGTGTTAATCAGGTGTGCACTAGCATCAGAATCCATGATGCCAAGTTAGAAGTGATTAGCGACCTTAAGAACCCATGAAAAGTAGTAGGCTGTGTCTGCTTTAATCACTTTCTGAAATAAACAAGCAGCCTTCCTCAATGCACTACTGTTATATTTCTAAAAGACACAAAAGGAGAATTCCAGACAACACCTTCCCACTGACCCTTTTTTCTTGCACTTTCACACAACAACATTTCCCTTGGTTAAGTTCACTGCAAATTTCTAAATGCTTCCTCTAATAATTTTTGAATACAATTGGATGCAGTAAATGGACACACACATCCACACATAGGCAGGGAAAAATATATATATATATATATAACGCTCTTCAATAACACACCTGGATCATATACCACACACAGCGCCATGCAGCTCTTGAGAAAACAGGGGCCATCATTTCTACCCACCTGTAATTGAGGTCTTCAGCTTAGTTTACGCAACAGAGAAACACTCAAATGCAGAAAAGCACTTTTGTATATTTATATATAAATGAGACCCCCATGTAAAGGGTGGGATTATTAGCTTTCTTGGAAAAGTGGGTCTTCTGTGGAATACAAAATACATACTATTCACAGATACGCAACATAGCTGATTTTTTTACCCCGTGCATGGAGGTGCTGTACTATTTCCATCACAAAGACCAGGCTTGTAAGTCCTCCTGCTAACAATGAACCAAAGCATATCCCAGAACAGAAGAATAAGCACTGCGGTACAGAAAAGTTGCATATGTACAGCTCAAAGAAACAGTAATATTCCAAAATGAACATATTCACATCCCAACATAAAGGAGTTCATGACCTAACATTGTCAAGAAAAAGGTTTCAAGTGCACAAGGACAGATGGTATGTGCAGAGAACCACACGGTATCATTAATAGGAGGAAAAAAGAATTTATGCAAGAACCTGTGTACTCCTGATTTGCTTGCCCGGGCAGTAATTTGCTGATGTATCAGAGATGTATAACCAAGTGCTGGCTGTGATATATGAAGCCCTTCACTTTTAACAATTGAAACATACCTGGCAGTGTCAAATAAGTTGAAAGGAAAAAGATGTTTGAGCATTCGAGATGTGAATTGTCATGTCATGAAATTATACTCTGTTCTCTCTGCATACATGCAATTTTTTCATTTCTCAAAAAAATGTCCTCTTTTCCTTTAAATAAAGTTTGCACACAGAAACAAAGCACCAAGATGATGGACCACTATGACCCAAAGATAGTGGGCACGGACTAATACTTGAAACTATCAAAGCTGAACGGTGATAATCAATTGACCCTTAGGTATGTCACCATCTTATTTTATTTACATGTTTATTCTTTGATAAGGATTAAGGAGTGCCTCCTTTTTTCCAGTTGAGCCTTCTTTTATTCTTTGAAATGCTTCTCTCAGTTGCAGATGGTACACATCATGTAGAAATGCATAAGTAGGCGAACAAATTGCTGATTGTATCATAATGCAAAACACAATTATGTTCCCAGTCCCCAAAGCATGCATTTAGATGAGGCTAATATTCCCACAATACATAGACTTCTAATAATCGCAAAGAATGATGAATTACTGCACCTCATGAAATCTAAAAAGATGAGAAATTCTATTGTCAAAAAACATTGCAAATTGTCCAGAGTAGGTTCATTTGACAAGTTCCTAGCCTTCAAAAGATAACTTGTGACATTGTCTATATTGAGTTCTAGGATCCTTTGGAAGCTCCTCATAAGGCCGCAGTGATGGGTCTATTGTGATGAGTAACCCATGAATGTAGCTAATACCCTTCCTGGACCCTTCACTATATGATGTTCATGTGAGTAACCATTCAGAAAGAAAAAATATGTTTTTAGCTAGGTACAAGGGAAAAATCATCATCTGAATCCTGCTAAGCCCTTGAAGAAATCTATAGCTGAAGGCATGTCTTCTGCTCAGATTTTTGCGAAGAATTAAGGACTTCAGAACACAAGAAACTGAGGCCATAGAAATTCCATGTTTCTAGTACTTCAGAGTTAAAAATGGATGAATGTGGGAGCTGATAACTATCTTCAGGTGACCAAAGTTAAGGACCTAATAGCTTGTATTTCCAGAATACTTACAAAAAGAAAAAAGGTGACCGAAGTTGAGGACCTAATAGCTCGTGTTTCCTGAATGCTTTAAAGAGAATATATATATATATATATATATTGTTTCAGATATAACCAGTAATTCGAGATTTGCTGCATAATCACGAGATTTTTAAAATGCCTTTAAATCTGATGTATGTTGTAGAAGACCCCAAAGAAGCACGTGACCTCATCAAACTCAAGTCCATATAGCCATCATTTCCTTGCAGACTTAACTCCAAAAAATGAGTAATTGACTCAACTTCTAAATATTCAGACATGCCAGCTGTATCTCAGCCTTCCAATAGAGATATCTCAAGGGCTTTGCAGACTCTATGAACTTCTCAGGGGGCAGTCAAACTTCTTGCCTTTAGACCATCTAAAGTTCAAGAGACAGAACGATAAACATTTCCGAGTTTGAAGACAGCGAGTTACAAACTTCGACAACATTTTACATGTTTCAGTCCCTCTACAATTATGGATCGACAAGATTCAATATGTTGGAGAACATAAATAAATGGTAACTGCATATGACTTACAACATTTTATCAGCTTCAGATTGGAAATATTAATGTTTCAGATAAAGACTGGTACTTCATTGGTCCAAGAAAAAAGCCTTTAAAAAATTCAGTTTTCTTTTTTATTTATAATTTAAAAATAAACGAGCAATGCAGTTAACATACTGTTTAGGATTGAAATTTTCCACTCCAAGGTCCTCATCCCATAGGAAAATGTAACTGTATTCAGCAACTATATCAGGATGCAAGAACCGCTTTGCAAACCACCTAGCCATCATGAAAACCCAAACCAAGTAAAAACATATAGGTAATAAAATGTCTGTCAGTAATGATCAATGGATCCTAAGGCTAATATAACTCACCATTTGGTTTGATTATGGGCAGAAACATGGATAACACGATTATTCCACTCAAAGTCTCGCCATGCATCAACAATACCATCATAATGGAAAAGCATCACAGAAAAATTGCTTGAAAGAAACTGAAAAATTGAATAAATGTTAAAACAGCGAAGTAAGAGAAAAGTTATGAATAGAAAGGGAGATATGTAGAGTTCATACCTTTTTTACCATCGCATTGACAAGAACTCTTTGCTTTATTCCAACAGCCATTGCAAATAGGTTGATTGAAGAATTTTCATCCTTCTGTCCAAACCAAATGCAATTTATTATCATATTGAAATCAAAGAAATAACAAGGTGAAGCACAATGCCAAATATTGATCAAGCAACATCAGCAGCAAAAGAAAATTGAAATCAAATCTTTCCATTCAGCTTACATTTTCATCTCCCAAATATTTCCAGCTTCCATTGCAAGTGAAATGGAGAGAAACACGTATGCTTATTGAACCCAAAAACATATCTTTGATAGCACTTATCCATAAGATGAGTTACATCTAACAGTCAAATAATCATCTGTGGTTGCTCTAACTTCATCGCTAGTTAGCTATATATGAATTGAGAATTAGAAGGAAACAAACCAAATAGTCTCAAGATCCACGCAACACATTTGAAACAATTATTTATGAAGTTCACTCAATATATAAAATTGGAAAGTTTTAGCAAGTCTGCAATTTTCGGAAAATATATGTTAAGGTCCCTAAACAAATGTATGGAAACACATTTAACTTTTACCTCTGGAAAACCCCATAATGGTCTCATTTGAAAGTTAGAAGTCTTTGAGACAATCCCTTCAGGTAAGGCCTCACTTCCAGGAGGCCTGCATTGATTCTAAAATACACAGAAAGATGTAAGAAACAAACCCCAACGATTATTTTTGAAGGAAAATTATCCAGCTGACTAAAAATTGCAAGGGAGAAAAAAAAAAAAGCTCAACCTTACAATTTCTGAATTTAAAATTCTGAAAAGTATCAGCTACTCCCCATCTTGATAATTTCTGCACAACAGACTCATACGCATCCATCAAAGTTGATAATTCTCTATTAGGTGTATATTATTATTATATAAAAAACCATAAAAATGAAAATGCGATAAGGGTCCATTTTGATATATTAATGCAAAACAATGGTAATAAGTGATGATTAACTAGAAGAAAAACCGAAAATCCAAAGTGAGAAGTAAACAGATTACCTCTTTGTAATCTGGAGCTATAAAAGCATATGCTGCAAAGAAAATAAGAAAAAGAAAAGAAGCAGCAGGCAAAAGGCTACACCAATATGATCTCCTACTCTTTGAATCCGAGGGCATAGATACCTGAAAAAGATAAAAATAATAATAAAGTCATGAAAAAACAATGAGTTCACTATAAAAACTAGGCGTACACATATATATAAACCGACATGTATTCATATATGTATATATAACGGTACAAAAAGCCATTATTAGTTATGTTGATCAAGTAATATTTTCCCAGAAAGTAAAATTTGCACACTGAGATTAAAAGTAGAGCTCTCTTTCCGGTTAAAGGCAAGGTACTGACGCCGGGTTAGAGTTTTGAGCTTTTGGGGTTGTATTGAATTCCTTTTCTAGCTTGCTTGCTTTCTTTCTTTCTTTAATTATGGCAGAAAAAGGAGGAAAAAAGAAAAAAGAAAGAAAGAAAGCTTTTGCTTAAAAGAGAAAAAGATGTAATAGAATCAGAACATTCCATCATCATGCCTTCTTCTATATATCGAGCAGTAACACATAACACAATCTTTCTTTCTTTCTTAAAAACTATGAGAAAGATAGATAACTTACAGGAGGAACATGGAATATTGTCTTCATATCTGTATATTTAATGATCTAGCCCGCTGAGAACATTAAAAAAAAGTGATGAAAAGATAACCTCAGTCCTCAGCAGCTCTGATCAAAATATCCTCAATTTCATGTTTCTATACATCAAAGCCAAAACTGTACTGTTGCGTTGTGGTCCACAAACAGTTTCTACTTTCTATTGGAAACCGACAACAACCAAAGTGATACGAGTAACTGCTATGTCTTATCTGACAAAGTAAATTATAAATATGTCCCTTTACTTTTGTAAAACGAATTAAATAGTTGTTTTAATTTTAAGAACTATTTAATTACTCCATTCATCCATTTCATGTTATTGTTCAGTTTATTTTGTTTTTTTAAGTTTTAATTATGAAAAATAATAATAATATTATTAAATTTCGTATAGTCAATACTAATAAAAAATTTTAATTAATTAATTTTATAAACTAAAAAAATATTTTAAATTTATTTTTAGAACAAAAAAAACTAATTTATAATTTATTCAATTTAAAAAGATAAATCATGCTTTTCCTTTTTACAAAGCTTTTTTATTTTTATTTCTACTTTATTGATTATGTTAAATGTTCAAAATGTTACGTTATTATTTTATTTATCTTAATCATCTTCTTTTATTAATTCTTTCAATAATAATGTTCTTCTATTTTTAATTTCAGTCTTAATTTCATCCTTTCAATTATTATTTTTTTTTTGTAATTGTATTAATTTTTAACGGCATAGTCATAAAATATTGACATATTATTTTTTTTAAAAAAAATTCTAATAAAAATCTGAAAAAAAAAAACCGAAACTTGACACTATCCATTGCCAACGACACAATTAATAAAAAAAAAATCAGGATATTCTGGACCTTTTAACTCTTCACTGATTCCGTGAGGGAAGAGCCGTTATTGACACACTACCCATTGTCAACCACAATAAATTACTATATCGTGCCCTTATTGTGATTCTGAGGTTTCCGTGGCTTTACTTGTCTATTCACTTTGTTTCAAACCACCGAGCTAAACTCATCATATCACAAAAGTGGCAAAATCTTTATTCGACAAAAGTACAGAAACTTGACAATCAACTACAACTGCTGCAAAGTTTATCAACAAAGAGAAGCGTTATCATTTTTACTATTTATCATTATTATTGGATCACACATAATCTATCACTTATTACAAGAACACTAAAACATAAGCATCTTTAACTTTTCATTCTAGTACATACCATGACTTAGTTTTTCTATTTATATCACTGTTTTTTTTTTTAATAATGTTTCTCTTATATTTTTTTAAGATAATTTTTTGCCCTCTTTTACTTTTGTAATAAAACTTTTGCCATTTATTCGTTAAATGCTTCTAGTAATTGCATTTTTGTTGTCTTTTTTTTCTTTTGATCTCGATCATCAATTTAAAACCCTAATAATCACAACTATTAAATCATCATATATAACTTCATTTTATCTCAATCTCACCTATCCTCCATCTTTTTTCATAAAAAATTTTCAAATTCTTCTCTCCACCTCTCCTTCTATAATCGAAGTTCCATCACTTCGCTCAAAATCAATCTATCAACCTTCAACACTAAAGCAAGAGCCTTAAAAAATGAATCCATCAATACTACAAAATCTAAATCTAGATAATACTCAACATCCATTACCACAATCAAAATCAACTACCCAATTCCCTCCTCCATGGCCCCATACCCGACGGTCCTCCTCCTCTCTTTTTATCTACAATTGCTAGTTGCCTTGCCGGTGGCACCACTCTCTCCTTTGTCGACATCATCAAAGCGATTTTGGTTGGGAGTGTGTATTGCATTGATTAGGATGCAAATAAGAGATGTCGTCTAAGCACTTTTCAAAAGTAGATTTAGCAAATAAGCAAAATTTCATGATTACTCTTGCAGTCGATGATCAAGGTCATCCACTTGACCCACACAAGATCCGGGAGCATTTTAAAGAATTTTATGAGGATATTTTTGAAGAACTCGACAAATTTAGTGAGATGAGAGTCTTAATATTTATGATAATCTCGCCAATCATATGAGCAATAACTTTTATGTTCATTTCAAAGAGGAGGACCAAGCTATTGTCGCTTTGCAAGCTCTTCGGATTGGGAGGGATTTGCGAGAGAAAGTTGTTTGGAAGATATCATGGATATAGGGTTAGTAGGAGCATAAGTAAGACTTGTGAGTCCAAGGAGGAGGGATAAAGATTATGATAGTTGTGACAAGGATTATAGATACCATGATTATCATGGAGATGGGAGGAGGAATGGCAAGTATGTCGAGATCGAGAAATGAAAAGACATGGGAGTCCGAAGAGGAGTACTACCAAGAGCAAGAGCTCTAGCAGGGAGGTAGCAAAGAACAAAGGGTAGGATTGAGCGAGTGGAATAGAGAGAGAGGGAGGAGAAATGGTAGTTTGATGGGGAGACTCGTTGTTTTGGTTGGACTAGGAGTGGAGATGTATGTTAGCATTTTTCTCTTATTGGTAATGATTCTAGGCTTTAATTTCTAGTTTTCACATTTCCTTAAACTTTTAATAGTCGACTTTTTGTTGTGTCTTTATGAAGGATTCGGACTATTTTAGTTGGTACCTTTGTTATGTTGGTATTTATTTTTGTTAAAATTATTTAGTGCTAATTCATCTTGCTATAAAATAGTTTTATGAATTCTATGCTATTTTTGGCTCTCTATAATTTGGGATTGGGTTTGCTTATTAATTTAATTAGCAATTCTAAAAGTTATTTGTTCAAATTGATTTTCAATAATAATGATCATTTTTTATTTTTTGTTGATTTTTTTTTAATTTTTTAAGCGTTTTTATTATTTTATTTTCATTTCCTACATGATGGCATAGTGATTTAGCGAAATAATGAAATAGAAAGATGAATTAGTGGCTTGCTATTGTTGTTTTCAGTAAGATGATGAAAAATATCATGTATTCGAGTATGAAGTTTATTTACTTCTTATCAAATGTGGAGAACTTATTAGAAAATAATAATAATAATAAAGAATTGCTTTGTTGTATTTCTATTGGGTTGATTTGATATAATGAACATGTGATTATTTGATTTAGTTCTTTTGTTTTTTTTTTTTTTTTGAAAAAAAAAAATTGACTTGTTTTATGCTTTGATTTATTCGATTAAGAATGTAGTTCTCTTACTCTGCAAGGCTAAAAAATAGATTGAGAAGTTGAAAGCGGTGACTATCAAACTTTTTTCACACAAGCTAAAATCAACATAACAAACACATGATCCTGTGAAGATGAAAGGTTAACAAATATATCATGGTTAGTAATTTTTTTTGAAATTCCTAAGATAATAAAAAATCACCAATATTTGAAGAAATGTTTAATTTTGGTGAATTAAATTAATCAAGCAAAGTGTTTAGTTTTTTTGTATATTTATATTTCTTTGAATAATTTATGAAAAAAAAAATGGGAGGTTAAAATTAGTCTGCTAATATATATTTGTTATTTCACTCTATGATCAAATAAAAAAAGTAAGAAACTCTATTTAAGAAAATCATTTCTCCATTTCACATCAACCATGCCATTCTCTTATTCAATCTGCCATAGGAATTCATTATATTGATTTTATGATGTCGACTAAATTCTTGCAAACTATTAGAAGCTGAATTCATAATTATGTTGTACTCAATCTATTATTTGTTGACAAAAATTGGTATGAAATTGATCTTAGTTTTTAATTAGAATAATTGATACAAAATAGATTTTGGCAATCTTTGATCGATGAAATTGATCGATAAAGATTAAGACATTTATTATTGTATCCATTAAGAAATCTAAAACAAAATTTTGACATATATAGGTTTGCATAGTTCAAAATATGATTTTTTTGTAATGCATGACCATCTTTTTGCTATTTGTGTATAAAATTTTCTATGTCATATTGTTTATTGTTTCAAATTTTGCATGTTTTTAATTTAATTTAATTTTTTTGATTTTTTTTTTTGGCTAACTAGTATTTATCAATTTTGTTTTACAAATACTCTATTCATTCATCATCTTTTCGTTGTCTCACACTTGGTATACTATAATTAGGTATGCTTGATGGTTTTTTCTTCCCTTTTTCTGTTTTGATCCCTTTGTTTCGTTACTCTTTCCTAGTTATAAGTGGTCTCAATTTAGTTATTGTGCTCTTGCTTTGATTTATTAGGTTAGCCTTTCCTTTCCTTTTATATATATATATGATTGAGTTATTTTACATGTTATATGCATTGCATTTTTTAAATCAATATTGTGTTTTTTTTTTCCAACACTCGAAGATGGATGGGAGTGCTATTTTGGGGTTTGTTTTTGTGTTTTTATGTTCATTTATCTTTTTAAGTCCTAATGATATGACATTGGAAAAATCCTATTCTTTTTTAAGTGATTCGTTGCCCTCCACTTCATCTCTCTTAGTCTAAGTTCATTTTAGAGAGTACTTATAGGATCTTAGATAGAAATACAAGTTTTGTTTCATTTGAAATTTTTATGTTTTTCTTAGTTAAAAAGATTTTTTTTTTTTTTTGCTTTTTTATAATTATAAAAATTTTATATTTTTTTATTCACAGACAAAGAAAAGGAGAGATTTAGAAGGAGATAGAAATTAGAATTCAAAATTAGTTGACATGATGAGTATTAATTTGTTTCACGAGTAGAAATCATTTATGGCCACCCAAGAGTATCAACAAAAACACCTTACAATTAGTTGGTACTCGTATCTCTCTTAGTTTGATATGATCCATCTTTTTTTTTTCTCTCGTTTTGTTAATAATTTGAGTTGACTTTTTGGTTTCTAAGAAAATTTATAAGAAGGAAAATACCGAGTCCAAAAATTCTTTTTAAGAGATGGGTAAGAGGATCATACCTTAGGCTATTTATCGCTTTAGCAAATCAATCACGTAAAAAAGACAAAATTAGTGATTTATAACATTAGCTATTTATTTTGTTTGATAATATCTATTAGTCATTGCCATCAACTTTTATTATCAATTATCAAGAATTGAAATAGAACTTAAACTTTATGCATTTGTTATATTTTTTACTCTATGCAATTATAATTTTTTTCTTTGTTCATACTCTATTGGTGTTGTGAGATATGTAGCTTTGTAAAAATTTATCATTCTATGAATAAGGTTAGATGTAAGATTAATCATTTGCTCATTATCGAATTTTTGCGGTAGTTTTTTTTTCCTATAATATATCTATTCCATGCTCCATTTCTTTCAATATTGTGTTAAATTTTAACCAGATTGTTAATTGGATTTTGATTCATTGCTATTTTTTTCTAGTTGTATTTGCACCTTTGTTAGTTGGTTGCAAAAGATTTAATATTCTTTTTTAGGTTACTTATTTTGTTTGCATTTTGGAGTTTTTTGTTGATTTTGTTTTCCTTGAGTTGGTGAGTCGAGTTATTGCTTGCCCTTATTTATTTATTTTTTTTGGATTTTTATCATCATTTTTTTTGGAAATTGTGATGCGTTTTTTTTTTATTGCCTCCATGTCTTGGCAAAGACAGACTTATATTTAGTGTTGTTTTTTACTTTTGCTTCTTATTTAATCATCCTTTGATTGGAAGTACTCGTGTTCTCTTATGAAATTGTTCGATTTGAACTTTACTTTTGTGGATTGCATTTTTTTTTTCGCTTGATTCATTTTGTTTTTGGTTTCTTTTCAACTATGTAAGTTTTTTGTATTGGTTTTTTTTACTCCTTTTATGATATTGTGTGATAGATGTTGTATGTGCTTTTTGACAGACCTTTATATATTTGTTTCTTATATAAGTTTGCTCTCAATTTTAACCATTTCATTTGGATTTCATGTCCATTTTTTTTACAATTATACATTTTATGTTGCCTCATTTAGAAGCTATGTTATTGTTGTTAATTGCGACAGGTGTTTTTCCTTTTTTTTTTTCCCTTCATGTCTAACTATTGGTTTAGTTCTTTTTTTAAAAGCATAGTTTTGGTTGTATTGTTAAAATATTGGTAAATAATTTTGTTGTTTTGAATGAATTTGTTGATGACCATATAATATCGTTGTGGTTTTTTTTATAAAATATTTATGTGATTGGTTTTTGGGTCAATAGTTGAAGAATGACAACATCCATAGCGCCAATATTTGCTATTTATTTTTGCTTTTTTTTTTTTTATGTAGTGTATTGTCACCGTGTGTCGTTGGTGATCCATTTTAGTCTTGTTTTATGGCTATTGTTTCACTACATCGGGTTTCTTCCATTTTTTTTTTATTTTTATATAATCAACTTTTTAGTATGTTTTTTTTTATTGGTTATGCTTTTTGTTTGATACATGATTAGATTCTTTTTATTTTAATTTTTTTATAGATTTTTGTTTTTGTTCTTATTATTAAGTTTATTTCCAATGATTGAATGTTATTGTTCTCCTTTCCTTTAAATTTTTGAAGTTGTTTTATGGGTCAATGATTAAGAGAAATATTTTCTTATTTTTTTTTTTATTGTGTATTGTCGATGTGTGCTTGTTGGTAATCCATTCTTGCCTTGTTTTCTAGATGTTTTTTTTCACTATCTTAGGTTTTTTCCTCTTTAGTTTTTGCTTTTGTCGGTTTTATTTTTTGTTTAATATATGGTTTGGTTCTCTCCTTTTAATTTTGTTATAAAGTTTTATTCTTATTATTAATTTTGTTTGTAGTGGTTGAACATTATTGTTCTCTTTTGTTTTAAAATTTTTGAAGTTGTTTATTACATCAATAATTGGGGGAAAACAATGTCAATGTGTTTTACCAAACATAATTTAGGAG